AACAAGAATACGTTCTCAGCCAGGCACAGTGGCTCACTCCTGTAATCCCAGCACTTTGGGAGGCCGAGGTGCGCAGATCACCTGAGGTCAGGAATTCTTGACCAGCCTGGCCAACATGGAGAAACCCTGTCTCTACCAAAAACACAAAAATTAGCTTAGTGTGGTGGCATGTGCCTGTAATCCCAGCTACTTGGGAGGCTGAGGCAGGAGAATCTCTTGAAGCTGGGAGGCAGAGCTTGCAGTGAGCCGAGATCACACCACTGCACTCCAGCGTGGGCGACAAGAGCAAGACTCTGTCTCAAAAAATTAAAAAAAAAAAAGAATATGTTCCCTGTGCCTCGTCCCCTCCTTGACCAGCAGCGCATATTCACTTCTAGGTCCAAAACGAAGGTGCCAGAAGAGGCTGGCATAATCTTACTGATCATGAATTGAGCAGGTCCAGTGGCTCTGGCTGCGTTTTCCTGAGGACCGGGGGATATTTCCCAGGGAGGCTGCAAAGGGCTTCCAGGTGTGGGGATAGATGGATGCAGTTCTTTGCAGAACTGTTAAGGGCTTTCTCTGGAAAGGTTCAGAGCTGAGGCAGCTGGTGCACTGTGTTGGTCGTGTTCACTGAGGCCTCTACTCACAGACTTACTGATCATGACTTACTGCAGCCTCAACCTCCTGGGCTCAAGCCAACCTTCCACCTCAGCCTCCCAAGTAGCTAGGACCACAGGTGTGGACCACCATGCCCAGCTAATTTTACATTTTATTTTTTTTTTTGTAGAAGACCAGACATAGGCCTGCGTTCAGTAACTGGGAGCTGCTGAAGCCAGCTCTGACTCATCGATAGGACGAATATCAGCTACTGACCATAAATATCCAGGTGACACGGGTGCATGGAACTGCACATGTGAAGTAAAAATTAAGAGAGAAAGAAAGATGCAGAACCGTAAGTGACATGGATTACAATGATGAATCTTTTTAAAGCTTCAATTCCAGTTTCACCTCCTCCAGGAAGTCCTCCCTGGCTCCTGAGCCTGGATGAGGTACCTCCCCTGGTACCCTGAGTGTCTCCCCCCTGTCACCCAGATCACATCATTCTACAGTCTTCTGTTAAGTTGGTCTCTTTTAGCACTGACTGAATTGAAGGGGAAGCAGTTTCTTAAATAATCTTGTATTTCCTGGATCTGGGATGGACTGGGTGCTCAGTTGATGTTTACCAATCTGAGTCACATGAGGACCAGAAGAGAATTTAAGGGAATTGACAAGAATTTACAAATTTATTCCACTAGGTGTGTTGAAGTCCTGCTTGTCTTTTTTTTTTTTTTTTTTTTTTAAGACAGAGTCTCACTCTGTCACTCAGGCTGGAGTGCAATGGCATGGTCTCAGCTCACTGCAACCTCTGCCTCCTGGGTTCAAGTGGCTCTCCCACGTCAGCCTCTCGAGTAGCTGGAACTACAAGCGTGTGCCACCACACCTAGCTAATTTTTGTATTTTTAGTAGAGACGAGGTTTCACTATGTTGGCCAGGCTGGTCTGGAACTCCTGATCTCGTGATCCACCCACCTCGGCCTCCCAAAGTGCTGGGATTACAAGCGTGAGCCACCGCGCCTGGCCTCTGCTTGTCTTACTCTAATTGTTCCTTTATTTTATTTATTTTTTTGAGACAGGATCTTGCTCTGTCTCCCACGCTGGGAGACAGTGCTGTGATCATGACTTACTGCAGCCTCAACCTCCTGGGCTCAAGCCAACCTTCCACTTCAGCCTCCCAAGTAGCTAGGACCACAGGTGTGGACCACCATGCCCAGCTAATTTTACATTTTATTTTTTTTGTAGAGATACGGTTTTACTGTTGCTCAGGCTGGTCTCAAGCTCCTGGCCTCAAGTGATCCTTCTGCCTTGATCTCCCAAGGCAGGATTACAGGAGTGAGTCACCCAGGGAAGGTCTTGATGCAGGCACACGATCTCTGCAGCCTAAAGGTGGGTCTGTATTTTTCTTCTGGGAACTCTGCTTTGCCACGGCACTTTGGTTTTTCACAGTGTATCCAGAAGTGCTGTGAATTCCAGAATGTCAGGGCTGAAGGGACATTTGCCGATACCCAGTTCCCAGTGGTTCTCGATCTTTTTTCTGCCTCCTTCCTGAGAGTCTTTGGAGCCTTCGCTGAAACTCTCTGGGCTATAAACATGGACAGCAAACTTCCAGGGCTGCTGTGAGGGGCGGATGTACTGTCTGCACAGTACCTGCTGCAAACAAGATGCTCAATAAAGCTGGCTGCTTTTGTTCCTCGCGCCATCATTTATCAAATATCTGAGCATCTACTGCATACCTGGCCCAATGTCTTCAGGCAATTCTCTGGTCCTGAACCTCTGTCCGTCCACTCTACACTGCAGTTTAAAGCTGTCTGGGAAGCCGGGCATGGTGGCTCATGCCTGTAATCCCAGCATTTTGGGAGGCCAAGGCGACAGGTGGATCACTTGAGGTCAGGAGTTCAAGACCAGCCTGGCCAACATGATGAAACCCTGTCTCTACCAAAAATACAAAAATTAGCTGGGCATGGTAGTGGGCGCCTGTAGTCCCAACTACTCAAGAGGCTAGGTAGGAGAATCACTTTAACCCTGGAGGCGGAGGTTGCAGTGAGCCGAGGTCATGCCACTGCACTCCAGCCTGGGTGACAGAGTGAAACTCTGTCTCAAAAAAAAAAAAAAAAAGGGAAAAAAAAAGCTGTCTGGGGAGAGCTTGCTCTTGGACATGAGCAGTCCCTCCCTACGAGACCCCCGCTATCACCTGCAGCCACGCACGATCCAAAAAATTTGACGAAGTACCTCCCACCCCAGCAGACTGAGTCCCTGAGAACTCCAGATCTAATATATCAGCTCCTTTTATTTATTTGAGATGGAGTCTTACTCTGTCACTCAGGCTGGAATGCAGTGGTCCTATCTCAGCTCACTGCAACCTCTGCCTCCCAAATTCAAGCAATTCTCTGGCCTCAACCTCCCAAGTAGCTGGGATTACAGGCATGTGCCACCATGCCTGGCTAATTTTTGTATTTTTTAGTAGAGAGGGGTTTTCACCATGTTGGCCAGACGGGTCTCAAACTCCTGACCTCAGGTGATCTGCTCACATCGGCCTCCCAAAGTGCTGGGATTACAGGCATAAGTCACCGTGCCGGGCCCCCCGCCAGCTCCTTTTAAAGATGAGGAAACTGGACCCGTGTGACTTCTGTCTCCTTTGGGTTCACAGGAGCCAAGGTTGTGGTCGGGACCATAGGCATGGCCCCCGCCTTCCTGGAAGAGCCGCCTCCAGAAAGGGCAGAGGCGGGCCCTGGAGCCCAGCTGGGCACACTGCAGCATAAGTGTACGGAAGTGTGGGCACCACTGGCAGCCCCACGTGGAAGGCTGAGAGCAGGCAAGCTGCGGATGAGCCAGGGAAGGGTGGCAAGTGGCAGCATGTCGTTGCCAGTGAGATGCTGCCGGAGCGGGGGTCAGCTGGCCTCCGTGTATACACAGGGACACAGACCTGCCCCTCACCCCGGGAATGCTTAGCATTCCTCAGAGTAGCTAGCACGGGCCAGGTCTGTCCCATGAGGACAGAGCAGCTAAGGCCCCTGGATATAAGTGCCAGGTGGGGAGGAACAGGAGCGACACCTCGGGGACAGAGGTCAAAGTGCACAAGTTTATTTTCTAGAACAAAGGCTAAAAGAAGCAAGTTTCTTTCATTTTATTTTAAGAAGGACAAAAATTGTTATTAAAACATCTACATTATTATCAAGATACTAGACCTTATGAATATTTAATATTAAAGTGTGGTATTCTTAAATTTTTAATACACAGACATTTTAAAGGACCATTAAATTGATGGCTGCCCAGCTGAGAAATGCAGCATCCCTCCCCACCCACCCCGCCCCCATGCTTGCCATGCCACCTTGTCCCTGCCTGCCGGGGAACACAGGTCCCAGACTCAGCCCTCCGAGCCTCCCAGCCAGGGGCCCTAGAAGGCTCACAACAGCAATAGTTACCCTCATCATTAAAAGGGCCTTCTTGTCCCTCCTCCCCATCATACTCTGCCTCCCACCCTCTCTTCCTTACCCTGTGGGGGCTCCAGCTCTGGCCAGGCCAGGGAGCCCCAGATCCCAAGGGTCCCTGGACAGATCACAGGCTGAAGATGGAAACTCTGGACTTGAATCCTGTTCCTTTCAGCGGGGAGACAAATACAAATCACCTTCTTTCCCTGAGCACTCCCACTCTCTCCGCAATCGATGGGGCTGGTCTGGGACGCTAGCAGAGCCGGGCCTGGGGAGGGTGGCTCCTGCCCCTGGCTGCCCGAATCACCTCTGAGCCATGGCTCCAGTCCCTGTCACCTTGCCAATGGCCCGATGGCCCCTGAAACCCTCCTAATCACACAAGGATGGCTGCATTTTCTGGCCAAATTCTTTATCTTTAGCCCTCATAAAAGTGACTCCTTGGATACCACACACATATATAATATTATATAGAGCGATATATTTAATACCTGTGTATATATGCATCACGGGGGCGACATATATACACACTAGAAACAAGGCTGGTGACAACAGACTGCAACACCACGGATCAGGGAAAACAAGTATCATCGACATCACGGCCACACACAGCCACAGCCCCCATCTTGGGTGTGGTCTCCCCTCCTCTACAGCCACACCACCAGCACCCAAACTGTGCAGTGCTGGCCTGCTGGGGGCAGGGGGTGGGGCAGGGAAGAGGAAAGAGTGCATGCCACAATTATCAGGAAAGGCTGGGCAGTGGCGGTGGGAGGAACAGTGGCCCCTTCAGCCCTGGGCAGCCCATCACTGCGTCAGCGCGCGCTGGCGATCCTTGCTTGAGAAGAGTGGGGTGGTCCCTTCTCTCCTTCTCACCCCTCTACAGCCTAATCCCTGGTTCCTTCCGGGGCTGCCCCACTCCTGTGCCAATGGTGTGGGGCATTCTGGAATGTCTGGGGAACCAGGGGAGGGTGGATCTGCCCGTGGAGGGTGGGGTGGAGAGGAGGGGGGTGCACACAGACATGTCAGACGAGAGGGACGAGGGAGGCCTTGGTGAGTGGGGGCAGGGGCTGCGGGTCCGCTGGAGTCCCAGACAGCTGGTAGGGCCAGGGATTAGGGAGGGGCTAGGACAGACAGTTATAAATGTATGTCTGGGTCTAGAGGAGAGGACATACTGGGTCCCCAAGAAAGAGGGGCCGTGTCCCATCCTGGAGTGGCCCATGGTGCCCGGGGTCAAGCCTCCCTTTTCTCCATATTCTCCAGACCCTCACCCTTCCCACCTCCCACGCAGATCCTGAGCTCACGGTGTCCTGCCCTCTGCCACCTTTCCCAGAGTGCATGTCGGGAGGCAACCTCTGCTGCTGCACCCAAAGAGACCATCCTTGGGAGGGGGCAGTCCCTTCATGGGGTGCTCACATGGCCAGCCCTCCTCTGGGCCTCCCTTCCCCAGCCCCCAGGCAGCGCTGCCTGGGACCCCAGCTGCACACCGATTCAGAGACCGTCACATCCCTGCTGAGGGGACCGTGGGCTCGGCCAATAATTGGCCCTGAGTCTTTTGAGCCCTGTTTTCATCCCAGCTCTGCCTTGTGCTGGGACCCTGGGCGGACCACTCCTCCCTTCTAGGCCTCAGTTTTCCTCTCTGCAAAATGGGGTTTGGGCTGGATCATCTCTGAAGGCTCTGAGGACCTACAGTCTATTTTCACTGGCCCACGAGGGAGTAGGGTTCAGGTGGTGGCATCAGAGAAAGGCCGGGAACTCCTTAAGCTCCAAAGATCCTCCAGCCCCGCTCCTCCCAGCCTTCCCGAGGGGAAGCTGAGGCCCCAGAGGGTAAGTGACCAGTACAGTGTTCCCAGCTCCATCCTGGGGCTACATTTTAAAGCTAATGGGGCCTCCGCCCTCTGTTGTGTCCTGATTTGCCCCCAGGGGGAGGGGGTGGGATGAGGACGGGCCAGGGCGAAGGACTCTCCTGCTGCAGATTCAAGTGGGGACCCCAGGCTCCCCAGCCCTGAGCTTTGGGCCCCCATTAGGAGCAGACATAAGTTAAAGCTGGAGGCTGAAGCTGGAGGGGTCAGCCAGGCCCCTCCCTCCTCAACCAGGAGAGCCATGGGGGTGGGGGAAGGGCTGCCCAGGTTTCAGTGGGGCCTCCGGGGGCTGCAGCATGTGCGCCTGGGTACGCACACCGGGGTGGAGGTGGGGAGAAGATGGACGGGGCCTCAGGGGGCTGGGGGCTGCCTGATGAGGGCGGCCCCCCACCCCCGCTGGCCTGCCCTGACCCTTCTATCAGGCCTTCTGGCCCCACCCCACCCCTGACCCCAGGACTTCGCCCATGGCCAACACCTGGCCCTACTCCCCGGTGGTGGTGGTGGCGGCAGCAGCAGCAGGGGCTTCTGGGGTGGCACCGGCAGGGTCCCCATCCTCTTGCAGCAGGAAGTTGTATTTGCCAAAGTCGTCATCCCGTGGGCACAGGAGCATGTCCTTGCGAGCCTTGGCCAGCTTCTGCTTCAGCACCTCGCGCCGATCCAGCCACTCATTGAGCTCCTCCTGTCCATGGGCGCAGCGGCACTTGTCCCCATCTGGGCAGGCTTTGCCCTTCTGGAGCCTGTGGGTGGCAGGAGGCTCACTGCCCGAGCTCTGCGCCCTTCCCACCCCGGGCTGTCAATCTGAGGCCAGCCACTTGACCTCCCCCAAGACAAGCCTCTCCCTGGGCAGCTGGGTCCCAGCTCAGGGAAAACCTGCATGTCCTGACCCCCCTCTGGGATCTGCCCCACAGCTGCAAATTAGAGGTCTGGATAGGTCTGAGCCCAAACCTCCAATCCACCCTTCCCCACCACCCCCAAGACTGCAGTCACAGCCAAGCCTCACCACCCTCCGCACACCACCTCCAGGCCAAGACGAGCCAGAGCTGGCCACAGACTCCATCTCCTCGGGCCACCCCATGTCCCACCAGGCCCTGCTCTCCCAGGAGCACCTGTCGCAGAGCCGGAACTCGCCCATGGGGAAGCGGAAGGCCCAGCCGCTGGCGTCACTGTCGGACGTGAAGACCTTCTCCTTGTGCTTCTCAGACTGGATGTGCTGCTGCCACTGCTTCTTGCTGTTGCTGTTCTTGCCGCAGAGCCAGCAGTGGTAGCCCATCTGGGGGCACAGCCATCGTGGGTGCCTGCTCCCCCACACCTCTGCCCGGACCACCTCCCTCGAGAGGCTGAGCACTGGCCAGCTGGGCCTTCCAGGCTGCCCCTCCCAGGTGAGGCTCAGACCACAGCCCTGACCACAGCCCCGCACAGCCCCGACCACAGCCCCGACCACAGCCCCGAGCACAGTCCTGAGCACAGTCCTGAGCACAGCCCCGACCACAGCCCAAACCACAGCCCCGCACAGCCCTGACCACAGCCCCGAGCACAGTCCTGAGCACAGCCCCGAGCACAGCCCCGACCACAGCCCAAACCACAGCCCCGAGCACAGCCCCGAGCATGCAGGGCAGGGGCATTACCATGATGTCTGCGTAGTCTGTGGGCATCTGGATCTGCTTCTCCCCTTCCCGAGAACTGATGGGGGTCCCTTCCCCAGGCTTCCCTGGGTTGTGTTTTTTCAGCCACATGTCATAGGTCTGCTGCATGTCCAGGACTGGGCAGGGGACAGGGACAGGGCACCTGCTGAGGGGCTTCTCCATCCGTTCTGCCCCATGGTCCCCACTTGATTTGGGAGCCATGGGCATCCCAAGTCCTGCTGACGGGCTGCTTGGCTTCAGGGCCTGGCCTCAGACAGGGCCCGGCCTAGGGTTGGCGGAGAAGGGCCCAGGCAGCAAAAGGGGGTGCAGCAGACGCTCTTGGGCCCGCTGGTGAGTTGAGACTTTCAGCACCGAAGAGACACCGGGGGAGGGCCCGCCCACCCCGTCTGCCCACTCACTCTTGTTCTCCTTCATGAAGGTCCACATGTCCCTCTCCTCCGGGCTGTGTGCGAAGGAGCAGTTCCCCACATATTGGCACTTGCGGCCGTTCTGTGCATGGATGCAGAGCTGCGGGGTGGGCATGGGGAGAGCCTCTGAGTCCCGCTGGAAAGCATCGCTGCCTCCTCGGGGCCCCCCAGCCCCCCGTCCCAGCACTCACATCGTATTGCTGTGGGAAGTTGCGAATGGATGGCAGGGGCCTCACTGACACCCACTTCCTCTTGGCCTTGGACATCACCAGAAGGACCCGCCGCTCCTTGGTCCAGCTGCAGGACAGAGCAGGGTTGGGGAGAGGTCAGGGCACAGCCTGCGTGCTGTGTGACCTCTGTGGAGAGCCCTGGCCTCTCTCAGTTGGCCTCCACACCTGTGGTGGTCGGGTGGCCCCATCCCACCTGAGCCCCCACCTGGCATCCCACTCACCAGTGCCGGGCCTTGGCACTGCAGTACTTGAGGTCCTTGTCAGGCTCCACCACCTGCCCGTTCCTCCAGCACTGGCCACATACAAACTTCATTTGCAGGTCAAAGGTGCTGGGCCCATGTGTCCTCGGGGCACCCTGTCGGGGGATGGGGAGGGGGGTTGGTGAAGCTGCAGGCACCAGGCCTGAGGCCCTGGGTCTTCACACAGGTAGCCTCCTGGAGAGCCGTGGAATAAACTGGTCTGCTCCAGGGTCTTCCTGGCAGGCAGTGACCTCCCAACGGCAGGCCCAAGGGCTTCTCAGGGGAGCCAGGTCTGGAACGGGGCTCCTCTTTCCACCCTCTGTGGCTGGTCCCTGCCTCGTCCAACTCCCTGGGAGGCCTGCTGGGTGGAAGCTGCATTTCCCAGGGCAAAGCTCCGTTCTGCTACACTCCCTGCCTTTGCACAGGCTGTTCTCGCTGCCCTTCCTCCATTCTTCATCCAGCCTGTTCTAGAAATTCCTTCAAAACTCAGCTCAAGCGCATCTCCTGTGGGAAGCCGGCCCTGGAGCTCTCCTAAGCTGCAGCTGTCCATTCTGTGAGCTCCCACAGTCTCTAAACTGCTCCTGTTGACCGACTCACCCGACTATGAGTGCCGAACCTGTAGAGTGGGGGGTCCGGGAGATGGGAAGCCACCCCGGTGGGGGTGGGGTGGTGGTGGCAGGAGTCAGCCTTGGGCGGTGGGACAGGCCTCTGGGTGGCCCTGGTCTCTGGCCCTCCCTCCAGGGCAAGGCCTTGCTGGTCTCTAAGGCCCCACCTACCACGTTCCTTCTCTGCCCTATGTCCCAGCCTTTGGCCTGCTCTTCTGCACTCCTGGGACAGGGCTGGGAGCCAGAGGTGGGAAAAGTGCTCGCTCCGCCTTGTCTCCTGCCACCTCGAACCCCCTCAGCTGGCTACAC